GACATCAAACCCCATAACATTTTGCTAGACCAGAATTTCACTCCGAAAGTTTCCGATTTTGGTCTAGCCAAGTTATGCGCAAGGGATCAAAGCGCAATATCCATGACAACCATCAGGGGGACCATGGGCTACATTGCACCCGAAGTGTTCTCTAGGAACTTCGGTAGCGTGTCCTACAAGTCAGATGTCTATAGTTTCGGGACGTTGTTGCTGGAAATGGTTGGTGGCAGAAAAAACTTTAAGGTCATGGAGGACTCTACCAGCCAAGTCTACTTCCCGGAATCGATTTATAACCTTTTAGAACAAGGGGACGACCTAAGGATCCATATTGAGGATGAAGGAGATGCTAAAATTGCAAAGAAACTTGCCATTGTGGGTCTATGGTGCGTCCAATGGCACCCAATAGATCGTCCTCCAATGAAAGTTGTAGTTCAAATGTTAGAAAGAGAAGGTGACAATCTAACCATACCACCCAATCCTTTCTGCTCTACTTCGAATTGAATTAATACAACTACACTGTCTGCAAGGCATCTGGACATTTGCGTACATCAAGAGTTCTACCAGTCACCATGATTTGATATGAGATCATGCACTGTAATATTAAATAACATATGGTGTTGAATATCGTAGTATATGCTAAGTGTTTGGGTTTGAATTTGTCACGAGTCAAATTGTAGTATATGCTAAGTGTTTGTGTTTGAATTTGTCATGAGTCACTATTCGCTCTATATTAATTAGTGATTCGAGCTGAGTCACTATTTTCAGTTCATATTGTTATTTTCATATGTAATGATTTTTAATTCAATTCCATCAGTCCTTTATTCATCGAAGGCATAGTGATGAATTTGTATTGAGTAAGTTCCCCACTCAATTCACATTTCTCAACATACCCATTTCCAACAAGTTTTGCTTCATAATTGGTAGTTGAAATTCAAAAAAAGACTACTTTAAAATCAAATATTTTCAAAAGGTAACTTTATAGTCTTGTAATGAAAAGTCGAGGACCGCTTTATGTTTAAAGAAAGACAAAAAGAAAGAATCCATCATATCATTCGACCCCTTTTTACAAAGTAGAAAGAAGACCAAGACCTGGGTCTGCAGTCAACAGATATTTAGCCAGCATGTGCTCTCGGATTGACATTTATGAGTCAACAATAATGTGATGCTTAAACTAGACTGGACCACATTATCTTTAGACTCGTTTTCAATCAGTGATGAAAGTGTGAATGCATTTTCCATTTTATCACCCAATTTTGCAAAAGAATTTAGATGAAAATTTAATAAAATATAAGTCGTATTTAATAAAACAGTCCCGTTGACGTAAGGACCTAAAAATAAGGTCATGTGATGTCTTATTTAATAAAGGCCACTAGGTTAAGAGCCAATTTGGAATTGCTGTTACTTTTTAAAAAAGTTGCTTTTGTTGTGCTTTGAAAATAATTAGCTGTAAAATAAAACAGCTCTATGTTTGGTAAATTATAATTGTGAATAATGACTAAAATATATAAATAGACTAAATATATTAATTTTTTATATATGAATATTTTAATCATCTGCGAATAGACTGTTTTGCCCACCAATCCGTTTTCTTTTTCTTGGCATTGTGCAAGACCAAAGACTTTGAGGGGTCAAAAGTCCTCAGCAGGGTTTTCAATAATTTCGTGACATTTGAATTTCAATTTCTACTTAAATTATCAAAGATCTTTTTTTTTATAAAAAAAGTAGTCTGATCCGATGAAAGTGTGAATGCATTTTCCATTTTATCACCCAATTTTGCAAAAGAATTTAGATGAAAAATTAATAAAATATAAGTCGTATTTAATAAAACAGTCCCGCTGACTTAAGGACCTAAAAATAAGGTCATGTGAGGTCTTATTTAATAAAGGTCATTAGATTAAGAGCCAGTTTGGAATCGCTGTTACTTTTTAAAAAAGTTGCTTCTGTTGTGCTTTGAAAATAATTAGTTGTAAAATAAAATAGCTCTATGTTTGGTAAACAATATTTTTAAAGTGTTAAAACTGTTTGATAAATTTTAATATAAAACTGTTATAACTGTGAATAATGACTAAAATATATAGATAGACTAAATATATCAATTTTTTATATATGAATATTTTAATCATCCGCAAATAGACTATTTTGCCCACCAATCCATTTTCTTTTTCTTGGCATTGTGCAAGACCGAAGACTTTGAGGGGTCAAAAGTCCTTAGCAGGGTTTTCAATAATTTGGTGACATTTGAATTTCAATTTCTACTTAAATTATTAAAGATTTTTTTTTATAAAAAAAGTAGTCTGATCCGATGTTATCTAGAATAGCACCAAATACCGTATAACTTAGTTAGATTATTTATCCAGAATAATACCAAACGACTTATAATATTATAAATAAACAGTCAATACTCTCCAAAATAAATTAATACTATTCGATAAAAATTAATCAATACAATTCGACGTACCAAATCAACCCTTACATTACTCAACAATAAAACTCTCATTATTGCTTCTTACCCACCCGTGTAGACCAAAGGAAAAAAGCCATATGCACATAATGCTGCCAATCAACTTTGCTTTCTCACTTTATCAATGCTGCAGGAATTACACGTCCCATTGTCGGATACTATGCTGGAGCCTCATCTGTCGTACTCATCAAATGTAATGATTTTTGTTTGTCAAAGTTAAAAAGGAAAAAGGGCATTTACTTCAGCACCGGGTCACACTTTGCCTCGAAGTTGCTGTAACTCTCCCCAAACTCCAGTATTTCATATAAAATTTATATTAAATTTTTGTAACTGTTGAGAAAATATTGAAAAATCTGTATTGTTGACCCCCAAATAATAAATAAACGAAAGCATTCACAATCATTAGTATGACATGATCATAGAAAATTATAAATTAATTTATATTTTCCTATCATGCGTAGTTAATGAAGTTTAAGTGACAAGTTTCCAAAACTTAATATCATTTTTTGTTAGGCGGCGAATTAGTTAATTACCAAACTATATATTCAAATGAATATATCAACGATTAAATATTATTGAATATTAATTAAGTAGAAAGAAGACCAAGACCAAGACCAAGACCTGGGTCTGCAGTCAACATATATTTAAGATTTTTTTTTTCCTAACTTATATTGTTCTGCTTTTTCTACATTCACACTTGACCAGCATGTGCTTTCTGACTGACATAAATGAGTCGACAGCAATGTGACACAGTATCAGCTGCTTAAATCAGACTGGACCACATTATCTTTAGACTCGTTTTGAATGAAGGTGTGAATGCATTTTCCATTTTATCACCCAAATTTTCAAAAGAATTTAGATGAAAATTTTATAAAATATAAGTCGTATTTAATAAAATAGTCCCGCTCATTTAAGGATCTAAAAATAAGATCTTGTGAGGTCCTATTTAATAAAGGTCATTGGATTAAGGGCCAGTTTGGAATTGCTGTTATTTTAAAAAAAGTTGTTTCTGCTGTGTTTTGAGCTGTAAAGTAAAACAGCTCCATGTTTGCTAAATAATATTTTTAAAGTGTTGTTAGTACAAAAAACAGTGTCAAAACCATTTGGTAAATTTTAATATAAAACTATTATAACTGTGAATAATGACTAAAATATATAAATAGTTTTGCCGACCAATCCGCGAAAAGCACTCCAATAATAGACTAAATATCAATTTTTTATATATGAATATTTTAATCATCTGCGAACAGACTGTATTGCCAACCAATCCGTTTTCTTTTTCTTGGGATTGTGCAAGACCAAAGACCTGGAGGGGTCAAAAGTCCTCTGTAGGATTTCCAATAATTTCTTATGTCTTACAAATAAAAAAATTAATGTACAATGTTATTATGATAATTGAATGAGACAATGAAGGGTGTTTTCGTGTACCATGGACTGTGAACACAGTAAATTGACAATCAAAGATTTGTATGATGTATCGTATCTGTTAAACCCTCAGGAGACACAACTCCTCCTACTAGGGATGCCTAGAGGTTTAAAGGCTTGTTGCATATGCTCAATGCAATCGAGTTACCTACGAAAGTGGTCTAGTTAACTTTTTGTTTGTTTTTATATTTGTTTTCCTTTTGTTTTGCTCGAGGACTAGCAAAATCTAGGTTTGGGGGTATTTGATCGGTGCATATTTACATATCATTTTGTACCCTTCTAATTTATGATTTGGTTATGTTTTTGAGTTAAACTTGTGCTTTTAATAAGTTTTGTGTTTGTTTCAGTGTAATAAACTTAAGGACTCACTAATTGCATTTTGGAGACAAGTTAGCTCAAAACGGTGTCTGCAGATCAGTCAACTTCACGGATTGGATTGTACTTTCTCAAGAAGAACCAGATGATGAGCCATACATCATTGGAAAAATACGGAAGTCTATTTTCTGTAGAATTTTACGGTTCAACTGTTCAGATTGTTCCATCAACGATGTGATCAATCTGTACAATTCCCATCTGTGGATGGAGAATCATATAGAAGGCTACAATTGCTGATGCAAATTTTTGACCAAACTGTCAAATTTTAAAAATTCTTACACAACCTAAGCAGCTGTGGCTCACTCAGTCTGCATAACAGTTTTCCGAGTCTTCTAGAGAAAGTTATACATGTTTTGGCAACTTAAGGTCAAATTCGGCAGCATCTGCGTTACTGGGCCAAAAATCGCATTTGAAGGCCTTCCTGGAAAGAAGACATTCTGAACTTCCATTTAGAGTGCTTAAAGTCCTAATTTGATTAAGAGAAGCCCAAGTTGTAAGCCCTTGAAGTTGCTGGTCATGCTGACCTCAGCATGTGCTGGTTGGATGCTTGGTCATGGTGAGCTAGGTATGAGCTATCATTTCTGGTTGGAAGCTTGGTCATGGTGACATGAAGATGAGCTAGGGCTGCTGGTGGGATTTAGTGGTGAAGTGCATCAACCAATTCAAGATTTTCTAATACAAGTGCATCACCCATTTCAGATTTTCTAATACAAGTGCATCAACCATTTCAGATTTTATAATTCAAGTGGGTTAGTGAACTCTATTGTATAATTCAGATTTTCACTTCCCCTAGGCCTATAAATAGGGAAGTTCTCTAAGCTTGTAAACATAGTTCCTAAACACTCTCTTCCAAAATCCGCAAAGCTCTCAAAACACCTCTCTACTTTCTTCTCCAAATTCTCCAAGTTCACAAACATCCTCCAAGTTCTCAACCACTCTCTTCCAAATTCTCAAAGTTCCTAAACACTCTCTTCCAAAATCCGCAAAGCTCTCAAAACACCTCTCTACTTTCTTCTCCAAATGTCACATGTTCTCAAACACTCTCTTCCAAAAATCCACAAAGTTCCCAAACACCATTTTCCTTACTCTTCCAAAAGTCTCCAAATCTCTCAAACACAATTCCCATTCCTTCACCAAATTCTCTAAGTTCTCAAACACTTCCCAAACACCTTTCTCTTCTCCAAGCCTTTCTCTTCTCCAAGTTCTCAAATACTTTCTTCTCCCTTCTCTAAAGCTGGGAACACTTCTCAAACACTTTCTTCTCCCTCCTCAAAGTTCTCAAACACTTCCTTTCTTCCTCAAAGTTCTCTTAGTTTACTTAATGTTTTCTTAGTTGTAATTTATTTTTCTTGTAATGTACATTCTTTCTTCTTGTTTTGTTTCTTTTGTTTTCATT